TTACTATAATATTTTTAGCTCTTTTAGTGTGTTTATTCAGCAGCAATGGTGCCTTTTTAAATTGTGACACACTGTAGCAGGAAGCAGGTTTCCTAAATCCCTGGTATGTAACCCTTTGAGATTCAGGGACAATGAATGAATCAGTATTCCCAAGAATTCTTGGAAATTTCAAAATTACTGTTTTATACATAGTCCTAACCATATGTACACTTCCTTTGGATAGCTCACATTCTTGTTTAAAGAATAAAATACACCGAGTTTAGTAGAACTATAGCCTACAGGAATATTTAAACAGTGAAAAATATAATTTAAAATTCATATCTCCCAACTAAGGAAGCTAGAATTTTGTTCTTGTTTGTTTGTTTTTGGTTTTTCAAGACAGGGTTTCTCTGTGTAGCCCTGGCTGTTCTAGAACTTGCTCTGTAGACCAGGCTGGCCTAGAACTTCCAGAGATCCGCCTACCTCTGCCTCCCAAATGCTGGGATAAAGGTGTGCACCACCACCACCCAGCTGGACTGTTTATAAATTATGCATTTCATAGTTCTGGGTTATACTATTTTCTGCATAAGATTCACCCTGATGCTTGTGTCTGTACGGGGAGGTAAGCTACAGTTGATATTAAAGTTTTAGAAGTATCACGGTCATTCAAATCTCCCTAAGTGCTCTAAATTAATAAGACAGTTCCTGTCCTCTGAGAGCATGTAAGCTTGCATAATAAATGATTGGCAGCACGTAGGCTGATACAGGGCTCTGTGAGAGCTAGTTACATTCAGCAGCAACATGGAGGTACCTCTGTCAGGAGTTCGGGGTACTGATGACATAGTAAGCAAGGCAGCTGGATTCATGTGTTAAAAACACATGTAGAATAGTTGTGGGCAATGAATGCTTTAAAACAAACGCAACAGAGTGATGTTGGCATTACAAGAAGGACAGGTGAGGAACAGGAGGCCCTGGAGCAGGAACTGAGTTGACCAGAGGAGAGCAAATTGAAGTAGAGGCCATTGCAGTGCGGTGAGAGCACAGGTTGGAGAGCCAGACAGGCTTCCAATTTTGTCTTTCTGGTTTTCTGTTTGACCTAAGACAAACTTTTTCTCCTCTGTTGAAAGTGCCTTTATCTGTAAAATGGTGTTAGGTCAGTCCTAGTGATTCCCAACGGGGAGGTTCTTAGTGACCTGGAGGAGGGAGTGCTCTAAGGAACCTGTAACATAAAGCTGGGCCTGGTGGCACACACCTTCAATCCCAGCACTCAGAAATCTGAGGTGAGGCTAACCTGATCTACATAGAGAGGAATAGATTGTACAACCTTAGCCTACCACTACAGAGGGATGGATTGGACCACAGGGTGTCCAACCCAGAGTGTCCTTAACCCTAAAAATATTTCAGCAGGATGAAAGTTGATGTCACTGGTAACTTTGTGTTATAGGATTATAGACCCTGAAGAGACATTGCAGGCAGCTGAGGGAGTATTGATCTTTCTTGGAGTTCAGCAGATGAAGGTTAAGGACTATAGTTTGAAACATAACAGACTAGGAGAAGGTGGAAGTTGGGGAGGTTGGCAAAGGGAAAACCAGAGCACGATGGGTGGGGGGTGCTTTTCAAGATAAGGGCACAGCCAACACACAAGCCAGTAGTTGAGATGTGTGTACCAGAGAATGGGACCCATTGATGGCTGCCTTGCCTTGTGAGAGGCTATTCCACTTGAGAATATACTTTCAAGACCTGATCATTTAAGTTTTGTATCTTTGTTTCCACCGTATCAAAAAATGCCAACTAAAGAGTATGTCCGAGCTCAGGAGTCATCAGTTTTTCTTGGGTACTGGGCAAGGAATATTTCTATTCTCATTCATTCTCTCTCTCTCTCTCTCTCTCTCTCCCTCCCTCCTTCCCCCCTCCCTCCCCCTCCCTCTCTTCCTCCCTCCTCTGCCTCCCTCTCTCCCTCCCTCCTCTGCCTCCCTTCCTCCCTCCCTCCCTCCCTTTCCCTCTCCTCTTCCTCTTCTCCCCCTCTTCCTCTCCCTTTCTCAGAATATTTCTATTCTCTCTCTTAGTTTTTCAAGACAGGGTTTCTCTGTGTAATAGTCCTGGCTGTCCTGGAACTCATTCTAGACCAGGCTGGCCTCAAACTCACTGAGATATGCCTGCCTCTGCCTCCCAAGTGCTGGGATTAAAGGCATGTGCCATCACCAACTGGCTGAATATTTCTATTTTAAATGGAAAATAAAATTCTGAAGATGATATTTATTCACTTTGTCAACAAAGTCAAGCACTTGCAAAATGGCATGGAAGTAAATGATTTGCTTGACCTTTGTGCTGTGTTCTGAAATGTGTTAGGTAACATGTAGAAACTAGGCAAGGTCTTGGGTTACTTCAAGTCTTATATTTCTGAGGGATTAAGCAGCAGATGGTAGGTGCCTGTAATGAATGCACACCTATTATTAGCTTCCGTTTCCCTTCCTGCTTGCAGTAACCAGAATTTTCTTACAGGAACTTACAGCCTCCCTGCACTCAGCTGTGTGGCTGTACAGCAGCCTTCCCTGAGCTGGAGCTGGGCTCTGGTCAGCAGAGCCTGTCTGCGTGCACATCAATGATTATAGCCATGAAATCTGTGCACATCGATGATTATAGTCATGATGTCTGCATGCACATCGACAATTATAGTCATGATGTCTGCATGCACATCGATGATTATAGTCATGATATCTATGTGCACATCGACGATTATAGTCATGATATCTGTGTGCACATCGACGATTATAGTCATGATATCTATGTGCACATCGACCATTATAGTCATATCTGCATGCACATCGATGATTATAGTCCTGAAATCTCCGTGCACATTAATGATTATAGTCATGATATCTGCTCATGCATCTTATTTGTGCCTCTGTACTTCCTGTGGGAGTCCCTGCAGGTGTCATAAAGGAAGCAAACCCCACAAGAGATAAGAATGAAAACCCAGTGCAGATTGACTTTGTCAACCTGGATCAGACTTTGGGGAGTCCAATGACAGGTGGTTTTTTTCCTAAAGTATCTAAGCCCAGTACAATTTGAAAAAGTTTTCTGGTGTAATACAATCCCCTGTGTACAAAGAAGCATAATTACATTGAAACTCAACTCAGGGTACATGTCACCTCCAAGAAAATGCATTCTAGAGATAGGCTACCAGTATTTGCTTAAGGACCTAAAGGTTTATCCTGGTCTCCATCGTACAGATAGCAGAGGTGATTTGGGCTGTTAGCCACCACTGGTCCTGGCTGTGGGAGCCTGTGGAAGCCTCTGGCTATCAGGGTCATTTAGATTACCAGCCACCTCCAGTCTTAGTTGTAAGAGCTTGTTATGGCCCAACAGATGACACAGATCACCAGGCTATTTATCACTTTCAATTCTCAACTTTCTGGATAGAAGAACAGGTTTTTCATCTTTCCCATTGGAAAGAAATCCTGCTGCTTAACGTTTCTGGTTTCTCTGGAGATCTGTGGGCAAAATGACCTCCGTGCTCTGCTCCCAGCAGCTCCCATGCTCTGTCTCTTAGCCCTTCTGTGATTGCTTTCCCACAGACACTAGCCTAAGAGATGTGTCCACACTGAGGCCATAGTGGAAAACTCAAGCCACGTGGATCACTTGATGTTTCTACCAGGGCCCACCGACTGTAGTAAGCCAGATGCTCCTTTAGAAAATAGCTGTCTTCAAGCCCGGGTGGTGGTGGCGCACGCCTTTAATCCCAGCACTCGGGAGGCAGAGGCAGGTGGATCTCTGTGAGTTCAAGGTCAGTCTGGTCTACAAAGAGAGTTCTAGGACAGACTCCAAAACTACAGAGAAACCCTGTACAATAAATAAATAAAGTTTTCCTTTCAACCCTATAAATCCTATCTTTGATTCTTCCACTAATGCTTTCTAAAATTGCCAGTGAACATTTGTTTGCCACGAACACTCACAGCTATTCGATCTGCTAGACCAAAAGTACCAGATGGAGTGTTGCTGCTGTTGCTGCCTGAATTTGCTTCATTGGACTACATATACTTTAAAAAGGAGTAATTCCTTCATTCATAAATAATTTGGTTATTCAGAGACATAATTTGTATAAAGAAAGTGTTTGGTTCTATTTCCCAGTTTTGAATACAAGTTGATTTGTTGGCATCTCACAATTTCCACAATAAATTTTTATTATATCGTCTTGGTTGATATTTTTCAGACTATTGCAATCATTGTCTTTATTGATGCTCACGCCATCCTTGCCAGTAGGAAGCAATTCAAGCTGAATCCCTGGGTCCTTTTGTGTTGTCTTTCACAGTTGCCTTGCTTCCCATGTAAGGCGTTCTGGGATCCTATTGTAGATTTCCTGCCCAAGAGCTAAAGTCACTCATCTCTTACAGGACCTTCCCCCTGTAGCTACCACAGTCTGAGCAGCAGTGAGCTGGTCTTTGTTCCTGGGTCTTCTTAGTAAATTAAACTTGAGTTCCTTCCAACTCAAGCCCAGAACTTCATCTCCTTCACATCGACCCTGACTTGATGAACGCCTCTGATCACCTTGATTCAAAGAAATTACTTCCACCTTGAACTCTACAACCTCCTTCAAAAATCTCACTTGTGTGTGTGTCTTATCCTTTCTGCTGATTGGTAAGTAGTTTGAGGCCAGAGCCATATGTTTTTACTTTTTGATATGGTAAGATAAAATTTCTAAAATACTGTTAGGTTCCTGACATATAAACACCCTTATGTCTTCTACATATCCCTCAAGATACAGAACCATGTGCTACAGTTTCATAACTTGTTAAATGAATACTTAAAGTTTAGATTTATGTTCAACTTCTCATACATTAAGTACTAGAAATTCAACTTCAGTGGCAAAATCTTCAGTTTAAAAATATTAAAGTTGCCATGCATGGTTAACACTTGGAAAGTATTGGCAGGCGGATCTTCGAGTTCAAGGCCAGCCTGATCTACAGTGTGACTTTCAGGACAGCCAGAGCTACACAAAACAAACAAACAGAAGAAGAATATTAAAGCTGTTTGAAACATTTTACTTAACAGATACAAAATAATTCTAAACATTTACAGCTCGTACAATGACATAACCTTTATGTTTTTTTTTAAAAAAAAGTTGACAGCAGGAAATAAGAAATACTAAAGATCACAGTGACATTCCAATATAAAGCTTCAAAGAACAGAATTATGAAAAAGTACTGAGAGAAAATCCTGAAACCATCCTTGGTTGAAGTAAAATGAATAATGCTAGGCTTTAAAATGTGAGAATCACACTTCGGTCTGTAAACATATTTAACTTTGCATTTTCATTCAGCTGGGTACATAAAGTGATTTCTCAAACGTCATTTAAATGAACCCTTCAAAGGTTTGGTTTTAAAAATAAAAGAGGTAGGGAGCGGGAGCTTCGGAGGACTTATTTTGGCAGCTCTTCGATAATGATGCGCGACACCGAGTTCCATCCAGTAGAAGCATCTCCTTTAGGGTAGTCAGAGCAGGTGCCGACCCAGATGGCCACGTCCACCAGCCCAGCACCGATGCCTTCACACAGTCCTTCCACTGCAAATAGAGCCGTCACAACTCTCTTTAGAACAAAAGCAAGACCATTCCTTCCGCACTTACTGTAGAACATCAGATCATAATCCTGTTTGATGGAAAGCTAGCTAAAGAGTCTAGTATCTGATAGGGATTTCATAATAAAGGTCCCTTTATCTTAAGAAGCCGGTACATAAATATTTTTGAAGGCAGATACATTATTACTATGCTATTTCCTCAATGGGCAGTGTTCTCAAACCAGAATGTGTTTTGTTATAGACAGAGATGGTTTAAAATCAAAGAACAATTCACCAAGTCATACAGGAAGCCTGCAGTCAAGATGTCCCGACTTTGGAAGAGACCTGAACCAGAGCCCAAATCAAGATATGCAGGTCTTTTTAAAGAAAGCCCTTTCCGGCACTGATCCGTAAAGCTGATGATAAGCTGATGATATGCAAATCAAGGATAGGACTTTTATGTGGTTGAAAGAAATCCTAGCTTAATCTTATGCCAGTGATTCAATGTGTGAATCTATTTTACGCATTCTTTTTTGCAAAAAATTATACCTATGTATATATGTATGTATATATGTATGTATATCAATCACCTGCCTGTCATCTGTCTATTCATCCAACTATCATCTATCATCTGTATATCATCTATGTATCTATTGATCATCTATCCACCCATCATCTATCTATCTATCTATCTATCTATCTATCTATCTATCTATCTATCTATCTATCTATCTATCGTCTGTCTGCCTGCCTGCCTGCCTGCCTGCCTGCCTGTCATCATCATCATGTGTATATGTGGGTGTGCATACACCTGTGCCACGGTGCCCATATGGAAATCAGAGGACCACTTATCACAGGAGTTGGGCCTTTCCTTCCATCATATGGGTCCTAGGGACCTAACTCAGGCCGTCAGTCTCAGGAATAAGCACCTTCTACGGCTAAACCGTCTCACCGACCTTTAACAGGATTCCTGTAATTAAAAGAAAGCCCGCTTTTTGTTCGATTCTGTTTTGATGCTGTACCCTCCCATGTCCTCTGGGCTCTCCCCCGCGGACATACACCTTGCAGCCCACCTTACCAAAGTTCTTCGCCCACAACTGAAAAAGATTTCATGGTGGGTCACTAAAGCAAGCAGAGAGACACGCTTCCTTGGATGTCTGTGTGAAGTGAGAAAGAAACCTGGGGTGGGCAGATTCCTACTCAGTGAGTGAATGGTGGCATGGAAGCCGTGCAGTGACTGTGTGGCTTGCCTGCGGGCTGAGATGAATATGCTTGTGTGCCTGGCGGATTCCACCCTAGGGAGGTCAGTGCAGCCCAGCTGAGCCCCCAGGAATACAGAACTGAAGCATTCTGCCCTCACTGGCCTTGCATCTGAATGACAACTGACATCAGAATAATGGGGACCTAGGGCCAGTTCAGACCTCTTTGGAGAGGTAAACTGTGAGCCGCGATCCCAATTTAAACTGTCCAGCAGTCTCAGGACCATGAGAGTTGAAAACACATGCCAGCAATATTCAAGTTCCCCCAATGCCTTGACCCCTTATGGCCTAGAAACGAATCCACTTAAGCCTGTGGCCAAAGGACTCCAGACAGGTGTAGGCTTAGTATCAGTCTCACAGTGAGTCAAGTGGTTAAATGCCGACTTTAACAAATCAACTCCCCCCTTAGCTCGATCTCCTGGAGAAGCGGCACCCTGGCAGGCATTTTCCAAGCTTCACTGGTGAGCCTGTTGTGTAGCCGGGGCTGAGCCACTGCTCGACAGAATCACTGCCTGTGTTTGTCATTTCTAACTCGTCATTGACTTTCAGCTTCGGGACACCGCCACAACCAGGGCTTTTTGTTGTAATTTATTTTGCTTTTAAGACACGGGTGCTGGAGACTTACACGCTAGTGGAAATCAGACGTTCCCGCAGGCAGATCTGAGGCACACTCTGCCGCTGTGATACATACCCGAAGAAGTACGGTGGATATTGATTGTTGAATTTAATTCAGGGCTTCCTTGATCCAGATAGATGATGGCTTCAATGGGAAGAGGTCCTGAACACTCGGCTCCGTTAAATGTGAAATACCAGCGCTGGCAGCACGCGTTTCTGCACTTTAGCCGAAGGGAGCCGCTGAACAGGACTCGCAGAGCGCTGTTGGAGCGCATCTTCGTGAACGTGCACTCCTGCACAGCAAAAAACCAGCTGGACGTGTTCCATTTTAACTCAGAAGATACCGCGACTGTCAAGTTACGGAGGCTAACCCAGAGCAACGGCAAGAGTCTGGAATTTGGGGGAGGTCCATGAGACTCCACTGACCAACAACTCAAAAAGAGGTTTCTGGTACTGGATTTTTTATTTGATAGTCTATGATGTCTAGGCCATTTGTGCTCCTTTTATACATGTATATGTAAATATTTTAGGAAGATTCTCCCGTAGTAGGTTTCCATATGACTTTTTTTCAAAGGTTTTTAGTGTTAGCTATCCTTCCTCAAAGAGCCCCCTTCTCCTGCCCTCCCATTCCCCACCTCATTTAACCCTTCCTGTTCCGTTATCCCCTTTTCCTCCTTAATTCTATTTCACTTCCCTTGAGTCCCATGACTTCCTACTAATTTTATAACTCCTTCTATGATTATACCCTAATTTAAATATGCTAATATAAAGATCCAAAGTTAGCATCCAGGCCTGGCAGTGGGGTGCACGCCTTTAATCCCAGCACTCGGGAGGCAGAGGCAGGTGGATCTCTGGGTTCGAGGCCAGAGTAAGTTCCAGAACAATCAGAGAAACCGTGTCTTGAAAAACAAACAACGATAAAGGCTAGCATCTATCCATGAGAGGGGAGATACAGTATGTGTCTTCCTGGATTTGGGTGACCTCACTGAGAAGGATTACTTTCCACCTCCACCCATTCACCTGTGAATCTCACACTTTCATTTTTCTTTATGGATGACTAATATTCCCCATCTCTGATGATACCACAGACTTAAGACATAGGACATGGGTAATTAAAGCAGTACTAACCTGGAAACTTCATCCCTACTGGCTAGCTTTCATAATGCTGGAAGGTTCCATGCATGCTGCCAAGGGAGAAGAGTCATCAAGTCTTACCCAGCTGTGCACCTTGCGAACCTGGATGACAATGGTCCCCGTGGTGCGACAGTGGTACCAATTGTTAGAGTCGTAATCAACTCTTTTCTGCTTGGGCTAAAAGCCAGCTCTACAAGATGAACCTCATGCCCGACACAGTTAACTGTGCCTGGAATCCACAGCTGAGCACGAGAATAAGGATGAACAGAGTTCCCACAGCGTGGATCCCAGTCACATGGTAAGTCTTTAAATTATTGTGAGAGCTAACGTTACATTTTAAGTTTTAATTACTATGCCTCAGAGATCTATGGAACAAAAATGTCTCTGAGCTGCAAGTTCCCTGCCCAAGGACAGACAGTTCCTACAATGCTGGATTGTGTCTCGGAACAAGTTTGTTTGACCCGTCTGTACCCGTGTGAGCTTGATCACTTGTGGGCGGAGTTTCACAGGCTTAAGGGATGACAGGATGTATGCTTGCCCCTGATTGGACCTGACAGGAAATCCAATGGATTATGGGTTTTCCTTCTTAAGCCCGTGCAAACTGATATTTGGGGCCATTTCCCAAAAACCTGACTATGGACCTGACTGGATTCCATTTGGCTTTAAACTATGGTAGTGGTCTCATTCTCGATTGCTGGGGACTAACACTGTCTTCCACTTTTAGGCCTGAAGCTACAGCAGGATGTGTTAGACTAAATTTAAATTTATGTAATGGTAAGATTAGAATGTTGGTTATTGTTTAACCTGAAAAACACTATGCTTTCTTTTTGCATTTGCATTAAGTAAAATGATTATCTGTCTTAGAAATACTTTTATGAAATTACCTGAAATGTTATTAAACTCTTCATTAATTTTAAGTAAAAAAAATCACAAATTATTGTCCCGCATCCTTTTATTTAAAGTTTTTTAGGTTTAACAAAAAAATTTTTTAAAAAAATGACACTGACTTACAAAACTCCTTGAAGTTGAAGTTTTGTTTCAACTTCAATATAATTTGAACTTTGCTTACCACAATTTTCCCAAGATCGATGCCGTAATTCAGAGAACTCCACGAGCACTGCTTGTAGTTTGGGGTCCAGGACTCCTCAAAACTTTCCCGTAGGCACTCCCCCTTTTCTCCTTTGAATCCATCCCGACCTGGAATTCCAGGTGTGCCAGGGATGCCATTGGCCCCAGGGCTGCCATCACGACCAGGAACTCCGGCCGGTCCCTGTAAGCACATCCCATTGTACTGTAGTACAAGGAAAAGTGGGGAAAGCAACAGTAAACAAGATACAAAGTCAATATGGGATGCAGGGATGTAGTTCAGTGGCAGAGCTCTTACCCAGCATGCACAAGGCTCAAGGTTTGATTCCCAGTGTTAAGTTGGGAGCATAGCCTCCAACCCAAGGCATCCATCCCAGCCCCTGGCCTGGGAGCTGCAGATTGCTCTGGACTCCAAATCCCAGCATGCCAGGTTCTGACCCCTCCCTGGGGCGGGGGTGGGTGTGGGTGGGGAGGAGTCAGGACTACTCCCACAGGATATTTAAATGGGCTCCCAAAGGAGAAACATGTGGTTTTGGGTTTGCATGAGCTCCCTGCTGTCCTGTCTCTCTGCCATGCGCTAGGCCACCCGAGAGCATCATTTTTAATAAGACAACGGACATTTTGATTTGGTTTGATTTGACCTAATTGGATTTCTTGCGCCGTCAGAGCTGCCTTTTCTTATTTTTTACTTAACACCCAGTACAAAATAAGTAAACAAGAAAATACATTCATGACGGTGTAAATAAACAATATAGAAGGGTCAGATGATCACAGCTACATTTATTTTGAATCTGTCAAGAGTCCCTTTAAACCACCTTGTCCATGTTCTGAAGAGTTACTCTGGAGAACTCATGTTAAGGTTATCTAGAAAATATTATCACTTCTTCATATGTTTTTACTGCATAAACTTACACAAATTGAAAGCATATTTTCATGTCTTTTTCTATTTATGATTATAAATAATTTTAACTAGCTGTCTTCCAAGATACACTATAAGGCTCTGTCTTCCCTGTTCCTCGAGGCCAAGCACAGGATGCGAGAACTGTTTACACTAACCAGCATAGCTTCTTCTGCTGGATTCTGCCAGCCAGAGGGGATTAGTTCAGAACCTTGTTTCCCTCTTTGGTATGGTAATTTCACCTGCTAAGGAGGGTTCTCACAGGCGCCCTGAATCTCCTCCTAGCTGTCTGTCAGAGTTCCCAGCTCGGTACCCCCTGCCTGGAAGCTCCTGCCACTCAACACCCCGTGATCTCACACCTGGCTGGGAGGGGCTCCTTCTCTCCTCTGGGAAAGGGTATTTAACCTGACATATACTAAATAAATTTGGCATTCACCTCTTGGCAGATGACCCAAACTCTCTATGTGTGTGTACATCTTATGTTTAACCTCTAGGGACCTTGCCTCAAGCACATGGTGGTATGGTGATGCAGACTTCGCGGGCGATGCCCACAGTACACATCCTTGATTTTTTTGTTTTGTTTTGTTTTTTGTTTTTTTGTTTTTTGAGACAGGGTTTCTCTGTAGCTTTGGAGCCTGTCCCGGAACTAGCTCTTGTGGACCAGATTGACTTCAAACTCACAGAGATCCGCCTGCCTCTGCCTCCTGAATTCTGTGATTAAAGGTGTGTGCCACTGCCGCCAGGCTTTATCTTTCTTAATTTAAATTTTGTTCTTACTATTTTATGAGTGCGGTAGCATGCCTGGCCTGTGCCGGCTAGAGGAGGGACCAGAGCTCTTGGAACTGGAACGACAGGCAGTTGTGAGCTGTCATGTGAGTGCTGGGAATTGAACCTGGGTTCCCGGAAAAACAGCCAGTGCTTTTCAACAGCTGAGCCATCTTTCCAGCCCCCAATAGTCTATGTTTGTTCCTTATAATTCCACATTTCATCAAGCATTTATACTCCATAAATGCACTTTTACATCATTATACCTTTTTATTCTTTCAAGACACATTGGCATCAGACATTATGCTGGCCTGTCACCTGTCACCTGTCAGTCACCTGGCAGGATGCACTTGCCAGCACTCAGGGCCTGACAATGTCATCAGTTACACAGCCGCCTTGCTACAACTAAGTTCCCTTTAGAAGGCGGGGCCTGCCCGCCTCCTCTCTTGCCTGTGTCTCTGGTCTCTGTTTTCCTCTTGCAGGCACAGGCCAGTTTTTAAGTTATAACAAGGCACAGTTTCTCTGTGTAGCCCTGGCTGTCCTGAAACTTGCTCTGTAGACCAGGCTGGCCCTGTACTCATAGAGAGCTGCCTGCCTCTACCTCCCGAGTGTTGGGCTTAAAGGTGTGTGTCACCACTGTCTTGTTATCATACAAATTTTTTTTAACATAGTTGTTTGTTGATCCTTTGGAAATTTCACATCAAGCACCCCAATTCCACTCACCCCTCAGTCTCTACACACCCACTCCTAGCCCTTGTAACATCCCCCCAAATTAATTCAAAACAAAACAAACAAATGGTGTAGGAGGTTCTTCTGTTCATCTGTTGTTTTCATTGGTTAATGAACAAAGAAGCTGTCTTGGCCTTTTGATAGGGCAGAACTTAGGTAGGTGGGGAAAACAGAACTGAATGCTGGGAGGAAGAAAGCAGAGTCAGGGAGAAGCCATGGATCCTCTGCATAAGACAGATGCCAGCACTGCCATGTGGTGATACACAGATTAATGCAGATGGGTTAAATCAATAAGTAAGAGTTAGCCAATAAGAAGTTAGAGATAATGGCCAAACAGTAATTTAATTGATACAGTTTCTGTGTGGTTATTTCGGAGCTAAGCAAGAGGGTGGCCGGGACGAACAAGCAGCCCTCTCCTTGCAACATACAAAAATTTTAATACTCGGTTTTTGGGTGCTTAATTCTGTTTTTTGTTATAAATATTTTTCCCTTCTCCTCCCCTATAAGTATTGATATAATGAAAATACTTATCCATATAGACTTGTTCTGCTTTTGAGTGACTTCCTTATGATTAATTGCTACGGAAAGAACTGTGAGATAAAACCTTAGTCAATAATTATCTTTTTAAAAAGAAAATTTATTTATTTTTATTTTATGTGCATTGGTGTTTTGTCTGCATGTCTGTCTGTGTGAGGATGCCACTGGAGTTATAGACACTTGTGAGTTGCCATGTGGGTGCTGGAATTGAGCTTGGGTCGTCTGGAAGAGCAGCCAGTGCTCTTAACCACTGAGCCATCTCTCCAGGCCCTCAACCCCCCACCCCCACCCCAAGACAGGGTTTCTCTGTGTAACAGCCCTGGCTGTCCTGGAACTTGCTCATTGACCAGGCTGGCCTCAAACTCACAGAGATCTGCCTGCCTCTGCCTCCTGAGTGCTGGGTGTGCTCCGTCACCACCTGGATAATAATTATTTTGTATTGCGTTATCTCTGAGCTGACTGTTGCCATCTGCTTCTTCTATTTTGATGTAAATAAAGATGTACTAGGGTAGCACTTTTCCAGCCTCTTCTGTCCCCATAAATAGCGGTCTGTGGCCCAGTTTCGTGTGACTACCTGTCCTCAACAGATAGGTAATCATCAACCAAACCATCTGTAAGAGCTAGAATTCTCTGCTTTGTTGTTCGTTTTGTATATGTTGTAAAATTTAAATGCATACATTCTAGAACTATTTTCTTTTTATTTAATACTAGCCTCACTCTTTTTAGATATGCAAGACCAGGCCATTTACTCAGCCTTCCAATGCCTGGGGATAAACTGGGGATAGTCACAAGCATTCTTGTCTTGAAGTCCGTGGTTGGTAGCACACCACTGCAATCCCTGTACTGGGGAGGCGGGAGCAGGAGGAGCCAGAGCTCAGGATGCTCCCAACAGAGCAAATTTGAGACGAGCCTGGGATACATGAGACTGCTCCTCCTACACACACACACACACACACACACACACACACGCGCACGCACACGGGCTGGGGGGGAGCACGTGTCCATATTACAGTAATGGGGATTGAACGTAGTCTCGTACATGTTAGGCAAGCGGTCTACCACTGACCTACAACAGCGACACTTGAGCTTCCTTCGTCCCGTTCCCATGCCTACCCTTGAATTAGTTCCGACGGAAACAAGGGTGCCATTAATTAGACCTTTCAAATGCAATGCATTCTAAATAAATTCTTACTTTAACGTTACCCTAGTAAATTTCTCTAGTATATTTTAGATTTTTAAACTTCTCTCAGGCAAGATGTTACATGGAGTCAACTTTGTCTTTTCCCAATTCAAAACCCTAGACCCAATAGATTTTTAGAGTCCTCTGTGAATGTCAGTCAACAATGAATGGAAGTTCAAATTTCCTCCCGCTCCCCGTTTCTTATATTGGCCACCAGGGGGCAGAACTTCGTGGGCGCGTGAAAGGGAGGCTTTGACAGCGCCTGTACAAAGAAGTTCCTTTATACACGCTGCTGAAGCCTTCCTAATGACTGTGTGGACTTTTTCTGTCACCAAGACCAAATCCAATCTACAGGATGCACCTGAGGCCGGCTGCACAGTACGCTTTGCCAAGCTGGGTTAGAGCTGTGGGGAACCACAGGTACTGTGAAATCTTTAGAGCCGAGAATGTTAGCTTTAAGGGGAAAGGTGCTTTTGTTCTGTATCTTAACTACACATTCATAGCATGCAAACTGCACATGAGCCCTGCTCATGTGGCATAATTTAAAAAAAAAACAATTTAGGTACTTAAAATAGAACTGGAGCCCCAACACAGTGTGCTTTTGTGGGACAAAATTATATATCATAGCAGAAAACAACGACAAAAACAAAAACGCTCCACGTTGTGTGAAGCTGCAGAGGTCGTCCCCCCCCACCCCACACCAGGCGCTTTTGAACCCAGTTTAGAATCAGTCGTCAGGGAGCTTGCTTTATTAGCTTAGCCTAGAATGTCAGTTTAAGAAAGTCAAATCTTAAAAAAAAAAAAAAATCACCAAATGTTCTGTCATCTTACGTTTTACAATGCCTGACAACCATATAGATTGGCTCAAGGCTTCAAGGCCTGGAGTTTATGATGTGCCAAGGACTACAGATCTGTCGCTGGCTGGCTCTTGCATGGGGCAGAAAACTGAGTTTGTTGACTTTCAGAGTTTAGAGGGAAAGGCTTTATGCAAACAGGCTTTCCAACAGATTAGCCCCTCAGAAAGAGCTTGGGATGTTTGCTTTCCCTGTAGCTCGATTGCAGGGCTCCTGTCTGGCAGACACAGGCTGAAGGCCGGACCGCGCTTCTGTTTTAAACAGGACAGGCGAGAGGGGTCCTTGGGATGGCTCTCATTGGCACCCTTCATTTCCCCCGTCCAGCTTCAAACCCTCGGAACCATTCCTGGCCTGAGCTGAAGACCATCGAGGAGTAAATTGCCGTTCATAACTCCCCAGGAAGATGACCCAAAGTGACTCATAATCTTCAAGTTACAAAGAGCTGGCCACATGTTTTTGTGGGGGTTGTCAGTCTCTCCTCCAGGCAGACGTGGCCACCAATCCCAACAAAGGACACGTTGCACAGCCTTGGCGCAGGCCCAGGCGACCAGCTGACCTAGGGTCTTCCTCTGGCCTGCTTTTGAAATCAGCCAAGTAGCTCAATCTACTCCAGTTGCAGCCACAACGTTCCCCACTTCTCTCAAGCGTGACCTCTCCTGAGGCCAGAAATTCCTGGGCGACTACACGGTCTTGGGACGTCTCACTTAATCCCCGTAGCATCTCTGCGATGATCTCTCATTATGGTCCCCCCCTGGAGTTTCAAGACTCCACTTCAGGCATGCCCCAGTTCCTTCCCCACCCACAGACTCAGACAAGGCTGGACACTACAGTTAAGATACTTAACGGGCTGTCCTATGCGCACCCCTACGGTCAGCACCACCAACAGCCGTTTTGATGACCTCCCAGGGCGTGCGGCTGGATCCTCTCCAGCACTAGGTCAGGACCCACTCTCAGACTCACCAGGTCTACCACCTCCCTCTGTCGGATCTGCGCTTTTTGCTTCACCTTGGGGTTCTCGGAGGCGCTGGACTCGGAGGGCAACTGCAGCAGCAGCAGTAGCACCAGGAAGAGGCCGAGCAGCAGCTGCGGGGAGGTGGTGCGCCCTTGGGGGTGCATGGTGTGCGGTGGCTGCTAAGCGCCGAGCAGGAGGTAGGGAGGTCGCCGGAGCCCGGCTCTGGTCGGTTGTCTGGCCCAGCTCGGCAGCCCTCAGCATCAATGCTCCTTTCACTGAGCACCGCCCTCGCTTCTTCCCTCCCGCCCCCTGGACACCCGGAGATTGCATACTGCAATAGGCCAGGGTCCCGGGCTCGAGCCCGCCCCTCCTCCGCAGCTCCGCCCTCCCGGACCCTCGCTGTCCGGTGACTGTGGTCCAGAACCGCAGATGAGGGGGAATCAAGACAGCACGTGTCTTAAATCTGGAGTCTAGACGGCAAGTGTCTTAAATCTGGGCCAGGAATCACCTTCGGGTTCCTTTATTCCCAGCAAAGCTTTGGCAGAGAGAGAGAAAGAGAGAGGGAGGGAGGGAGGGAGGGAGGGAGGGAGGGAGGGAGGGAGACATTTATTTGGGGGGCATTAGCCTCTAAGAGTCCTATCACCCAAATGATTGCTAATGTGCGTGCAAGAGCTATCCTGCACCAAGCCAAGGTGCAAAGCTTTGTTCACGTGGCCCGTTGGCAGTCCTGTGGGGGGCAATGCGGCCTGTCTTCTCCATTCATAAGTGAAGAACTGAGGCTCTTGGACAATGACCACATTCAGTGGTTTCAGTGGCCCTCGCTGTCGCTGCCGGGGAGAAGGTAGGCCACCTGCAGATCTTCACTTGTTGCTCAAGTCTTCCAGGTCCAATCCCTAGCTTCACCCCGCCCCCAGCTCTGAAGCCCAGTGCCTGCAGCAGCCTATTACAGATCTTTCCCTCCTAAACTCCCTTCCCCAGCTCTTGCCTTGCCTACCGCTCCCCCACCCCCAGCTCCAGCAGGCGCCCCCTGGGAACCCACAGGCCCCTCCTGCCAGAGAAGCAAGGACCCTAACTGCTGGTCTCACCTCTCCTTCCATTCCTCCACGTCCAATCCCCAGTCTCATGCTTGGCTCTGTAGCAGTCCTTTTACTGTGACCCTCTTCTCTCTCTGCTCCCATGGCCAGTTTTCCTCCCTCTCGTTAAGCCCCTCCACCACCCCAGACACTCCCCAGCCCTAAGTGTCAGCTCCCAATACCCAGAAGCACATTTTATCTGGAACCCCCAGTGCCCACTCCTGTCAGGACTCCCGAAGATTTTCCTACAGGCAGCACACAAGTGCCAGATTCTCCTAAGAACCAGGGAGAAAGAAAACAAACAAACAAACAAACAACAACAACATCAGGAACAAAACACCCACCCAACAAAGACAAGACCAGATATCAGCATCTAGAATTACAGTCTCCCCAATTCCAGATGTCTAGATGACAGTGTAAAAACACAATAGCAGCCAGGACAATTATGTCTCCACTAGAGCTAAATAACCCTACCACAGCAGACTGTAAATATTCCAGCATAGCAGAAGCATAGGTGGAAGACTTTAAAGCAACCTCTATGCATTTGATTGAGGTTCATAAAAAGGAAATGAATAAAATCATCCAAGACTTGTAAGTGGAAATAGAATCAATAAAGAAAACACAAACTGAGGAAAATCTGGAAATGAGAAATACAGAAACTTGAACAGCAACACGGAGGCAAGCATCACCCAACAGAATACAAGAGATGGAAGACAGAATCTCAGACATTGAAGACATGATAGAAGAAATGAATACATAGATCAAAGAAGATGTTACATCTAAAAAAACTCCTAGCCAAAAAAAAATTCCAATAAATCTAGGACACCATGAAAAGACCAATTCTAAGAATATTAGAAATAGAGAAAGGAGAAGAAACACAGATCAAAGACACAGAAAATATTTTCAGCAAAATGATAGAAGAAAGTTTTCCTAACCCAAAAGAAGACACCTAACAAAGTATAAGAAAAATACAAAACACCAAACAGACTGAATCAGAAAACAAAGTCCCCTTGACACAAAATAATCAAAACATTAAAAGTACAGAACAGAGAAAGAATATTGGAAACCACAAGGGGAAAAGCCCAAGTAGCATCTACAGACAAATTCTATCTATTAGAATTACACTCAACTTCTCAATGGAGACCCTAAAAGCCAGAAGGGCCTGGACAGATGTCCTGCAGACTCTAAGAGACCCCAAACATCAGCCCCAACTACCACACCCAGCAAAACTTTCATTCACCATAAATAGAGATAATTAGACATTCCATGATAAAACCAAATTTAAGCAATATATATTTTAAAAATCTAGCTCTCCACAAGGGGCTAGAATGTAAACTCTCACCTAAAAGATTAACTACACCTAGGAAAACACAGAAAAAAAATAATAATCCCAGACCAGCAAAGTCCAAAAGAAAAAAAAGGAAGTTTTCAAACAGTACCACCACCATCAATAACAACAAAATGATATGGTTCAACAATCATTGATTATCAAAATCCCTCAACATCATCTCGATTCCCTGACAAAATATACAGATTAACAGAATAGGTGTGAAAACAGAATCCATCCTCCTGCTATATCCAAGAAACACACCTTATCATCAAGGATAGACATCACACCAGGGTAAAGAGTTGGAAAAGATATCCCAAGCACATGGACCTCAGAAACAAACTGGTATTGTCATTTTAGTATCTGGCAGAATAGGCTTCAAACCAAAACTCATCAGAAGAGACAGTAAAGGACATTACATACTCATCAAAGGAAAAATTGCCCAACATTGCAATTCTTAGCATCTGTGCACCAAACCCAAGGCACTTAAGTTTGTAAAAGAAATACTCTTACAGCTTAAATTACATATCGACACTCACACACTGACTGTGGGAGACTTTAATAGCCCACTTCTACCAATGGACAGGTTGTCCAAACAGAGAAATGTGGGAGCTGACCAAAGTTATAAACCCAATGAACCTAACAGATATTTACAAAACATTTTATCCAAACATAAAGGAATATACCTTCTTATATACCTCACAGAACTTTCTCTGAAACTGACCACTTAGACACAAAGAGAGTCTCAGCAAATACAAAAAAATTGAAATAACTTCCTGCAGCCCTAGGGATTAAAACTGGATGTCAACAACAGCAGAAATCTTACAAACTCACGGGACCCAAACATTCTCTACAGAATGAAAAATGGTTCAAGGCAGAAAGTAACAAAGAGATTAAAGACTTCCTAGAGTTGAGGGATGTAACATGAGGGGGCCAGCTTGTTGGGGTTTCTGTCCTGCCTGGTACCCCACAACCGGCATTCCAAAGAAAATCACACGGAGTCTACATTAGGTTATAAACTGATTGGCCCATTAGGTCAGGCTACTTATTAGCTCTTATAACTTATGTTACCCCATTTTCCTTATCTACGTTAGCCACATGGCCCAGTACCTTTTCCAGCGGGTGGGGGGGCAGCTTACATCTTTCCTCTCTGGTGGTCTGGGCAGAACTGGAGAGGGAGCTTCCTGCTTCCCAGAATATTTCTGTTCTCATTGCCCCGCCTCTACTTCCTGTCTGGTTGACCCACCTATACTTCCTGCCTGGCCAATCAGCGTTTTATTAAAATACATGATTGACAGAATACAGATAATTCTCCCGCATCAGAGGGAAAATATATAACCTATCCAAATCTATGAGACACATTGAAAGCAGTGCTAAAAGGAAAATTCATAACACTAAGTGCCTACATTTTAAAAATTAGCGGTCTTACACTAGCAACTTAACAGCACACCTGAAAGCTCTAGAACATAAAAAGAAGTCATATCCAAAAGGAGTAGTTAGCAAGAAATAGTCAGCCTAGGTCCGAAATCAATAAAGCATAAAGAGAACAATTTAAAAAAAAACCAATGAAACAAAAAGTTGGGTTTTTTTTTGAGAAATTCAGTAAGTTTGGCAAACCCTTACCCAGATTAACTAAAAGGCAGAGAGAGAGAATAGCCAAATGAACAAAATCAGAACCTAAAGGGGGACATAATAACAGATACTGAGGAAATCCAGAGAATCATAATGGCATACTTTTTAAAAAAAATGTACTAAAAAAATTTACCAAAACTGGAAAATCTAAAATGAATAGATGATTTTTTGATAAGTATCACTTACCAAAGTTAAATCAAGATCTGATAGGCAATTTAAACAGATCTATAGACACTAGTGAAACAGAAGCAGTCATTAAAAGTCTCCCAATCAAAAAAAAAAAAAAAAAAAAGCCTAGGGCCAGATGGTTTTAGTACAGAATTCTACCAGACTTTCAAAGAAGAGTTAATGCCAATAATCTTTAATTATTCCAAAAAATAGAAACAGAGGGGATATTGTTCAATTTATTATATGAGGCCATAGTTGTCTTTAACCATAAAGACCACCAAAAGAAAAAGAATTACAAATCGCCTTCTCTTCTGAACACAGATGCGAAAGTACTCAATAAAATACTTGTGAACTGAATCCAAGAACACATCGAAAAGGTCATCCACCATGATCAGGAAGGCTTCATCCCCAAAACATAGGGATGATTCAACATTCATAAATTAATAAATGTAATCCACCATATAAACAGACTGGAAGACAAAAACCACAGGATCTCATTGGTTGCAGAAAAGGCCTTTGACAAAATCCAACAGTCCTTCAAAGATTAGTGATATAAGGGACATACCTCAACATAATAAAGACAGTTTATAGCAAGCCCACAGTAAATATCAAAATATATGGAATGAAACTCAAGTTCCACTAATATCAGGAACAAGACAAGGCTGTACACACTCTCTGTGTTTGTCCAACACAGAACTTCAAGTTTTACCTAGAGCAGTAAGACAACTGTAGGGGATCAAAGAAACACAAATTATGAAGGAAGAAGTCAAATTATCTTTATTTACAGATGATATGATACTATACAAAAGTGACCTGAAAAATTCCTTCGGGAAGCTCTTACAGCTGCTAAACTCCTTCAGCAAAGTAGCTAGCTACAAAACCAACTCACAAAAATAGGGGGAAAACATTGTTTACAATAGTCTCAAATCATATAGAATATCTTCGGGTAACTACAAACAGGCAAGTGAAAGACTTGTATAACAAAAACTTTAAGACATTGAAGAAAAAATTGAAGATATTGGAAGATAAAAGGACCTGTCATGCTCATAGATCAGTAGAATTAATATAGTAAAAATT